GCGAGCGGCCAATTTCTCCTGGAGTTGTTCGCTAGGCAAAGGATATTGCTCGCCCGGCGAATGTGATAGTACAAATTTCTATTTTCGATCGTTAAATGACTTCCGGGTGTCCGATTTCGATTCCATAAAAAGCTGCGATCTCGGAATTCAACGTACAACAATAATTTCACACTTAGGAAGTCATTAAACACATTTCAAATTTTTGAAATATTTTAAAACCCATTTATACCAATATTGCATTCCACATCTGACTTTCTCTAATAATCACCAGAAATCATCGTCCATCTTTAATATACTCGACGTCACAATCTGTTGCCTTAGCACACACTAGGCACAAGCCTCAAAACTACTCAATCAATTTAATTCCTTGACCACCCAAACAGACATATAATATGGAGCTCTCAATATCAGACTAGTTTCTGTAACTAAGTCGATCATAACTCCACCTCACGTTATGCCTGTATATCACTATCTTGTCAGGATAACTTCCAGACACCCACAATTAATCGGCAAACCACCAACTCTCCCACTTTCATTAACACTAAAAATTCCCATCAAAATAAACATCTCAACACCGTCCTGCGCTAACTCGTCAAAACAATTCTTAAGCACTTAGCTTAACTCAAAACAATTTACTGCTCACGCCATCTAAGCTTGCAAGACACGTCTATCCCATCCAACATGACGCTGTCCACTATCAACAAGAGATTAAGGGTGATCAGTCCCTCAAGTTGCCAATAGACAGCCAAAAATCATGATGGGGTATAAACCATCTTTACCAAACTATAAGAGCGTCTAACCACACACTGAGCCGCCACTTCACACTTGCAGTGTCCTGGAGAAGCACAGCTTCTCCCCCACTTGTTTCGTTCCCACATCTGCAGACAAAGGTTAGAAAACAAACGTGTACCGACAGTGTTTTTACACACATGTCGCATACAAGGCAACAAACAACATTAGACAACTTGGCCGGACGGACCGACCTGCTCTTATACCACTAATGTAACACCCTTATTCTACCCCAAAGATATTATGGCAAAATAACATGGATTTCAGAGTAAAATATTAACTTTCATAAAAAGCCACAAAAGGGCGTACATTTCTCAATGTCTCAAAATAAGTCAATGCTCCGTAACACACGAGTTTTCTCAAAATACATCAATTTGCACAAAGCAGCGGGACTCAAAACATAACTCAATGTTTTCCTCATAAGGGAAAGTTAGAAAAATAACTCAACAGTATAAAATCAACTCAAAGAACCCAATCCAATGTTACATATCAGAGCAAAACCCTCTAAACTAACCAAAAGGCTAAAACACTCAAAAACTTCAAAAAAATATTCCTCGACGGCGTCAACAGCTAAACTGGATCATCTGCACGTTACCCACGTGGAGGTAACATTCAAACAGGCAGGGTGAGTAAAACAATTCATAATAATCAATGTATAACAATTAATGCATAAACGGTGTCATATTCATATTCAACTCATTAATATCCTTCAATAGGCCTCGAAGGCCACAACGTTATAATTTATGCACAAAGGCTCATAAATGCAAATGCAACATAGACTCAATGCATGTGGTACCAATCATCACAACACGATGGACACTGGGCCACCAACCCTCCATAGATCCCCATCAATAGGATCATTTCTACTTGAGATCCGGAGCACATCAAAATACTTCACATCCACACAATGGGATTGAAGCCAAAGTAATCGAGGTCCTGAACCGAAGTCCGGATGCACATGAATGCATGATGCACACGTCACAAATCATCATCATAATAACATCATAGGTGCATCATCATTCATCATATTCATCAAACGTCATAACTCATCAACATAGTCATCATCATCGCATAAATCGTCATATCTCACATAACTTATCATAATACTCCTCGTCGTCACATAAATCACCATATTTCATGTTATCACATAATTCATCGTAATAATCATCATCATCACATAAATCATCATATCTCATCATGTCATCACACCACATCATAATACCCATCCTTACACATCATTTCGTCATACAATTCATCATAATAATTACTCTCACACATCATGTCATCATATAATTCATCATAGTAATCACGTATAAATCACATGTTAGCTCATAGTCATCCTCATATTAACCCATCATATTATCACATATTATCACATATTAATTCATAATACTACCCCATATCATCTCATATTAATTCATAATATTATCTCATATTAATTCATCAAATTATACTTGCGGTAATCCTCACACTATCGCCTATAAATCACATAATTCCTCACTGTCATACTCATACTAACTCATCTTAGAAATCTCAGAATCAAACATCAAGACATCGCTGTACATGATCAACATTCGCGAAACTCTGCTACATTCGCTGGCATGCTCGCTAGGCGAGTCTGGGACGAGTCTTCGCTAGGCGAACAACGCGATGACAGCAACATTTGCTACGCAACAGAACTGATTTTCACCCAAATACTCATACGATTCACTTATCCAATGCCCCCAAAACATCCCTAAATCATCCCTAAGGTCCTACGACGATAAAGGCACAAAACCTACAGTTTATTAAGCCAATTTCGAGACATATTCACATCCTAAACCACAATTTTCCTACAATTATCCAAGGCATCATAATTTCCCATATCAAATCCCTTCAGGGTCAGACTCATAACAATCTAAGGTTTTGACCACAAAGGCCTAAGGTTCTTTCCTCATATCAATATTCAGTGATACATACCATAAGCCATAATCTCAGAACCTTATCATCCATTTCGCTAATTCCTCAATTAATTCACGGTTAGGTTTGCACTTACAGGTTTAGGCCACGAAGGCCAAAGATCATCATTCCCATCTCTACCCTTAGAACCCTTACGGTTACCACCTCTATGATAGATCTAGGCCACGAAGGCCATAGATCACTTGTTCGCATAACCTTCTAATCTTATCACGATCAAAGTCTCAATGATAGATTTTGGCCACGAAGGCCAAAATCCCTTTTTCCCCATAATTCTCCCTAAAACCCCCAAACCAACCATAAACACATCGAAAGGCATACATGAAAAATCATGAAAAGCAATACTCCCTATACCATAGCCGATTCAAAGCTTTCACGATTAACTTCGGGGATCTTCTGCCTCCCACCTTTCCTTCAGAGCTCTGGCCACCAAACTTTCACGGTTAACACAAATGAATTCTAATTTCTCTTCAGAACTCAATTTTGCCAAACCTAGTCTTGGGCCTCACAAATTGGGCTTTTCCCTCGTCACCCTTACTAACTCCTCAAAATGCCCAAATTACCCTTATTCCTCTGATATTTATTTTAATTCATAATAATATTAATAAATCCATATTACATACTATTATTCCAAAATAAATACTCCAAAAAGCATAATTCCTAATTGAATATTCTCAATTAAATCAATTAATTAAAATATTCCAATTAAAATTTGGGGTGTTACAGGCGGCATGGGGTTTGTTGTAAAATTTAGGATTCTTAGGGTGAATGTGAGAACCTTAGATTCAATCAAATCTTGAACTTTGTACTTGGAAGCTCTGCAATTCTCAATTGTATGCCCTAGGGCTCCCTTATGATACTCGCAATAAGCATTGACATTATAGCCTGGAGGGATAACAATTGGAGGTGCTAGATCTTTCTGGATAATTGATTCATCCTTCAAAAAATACGGAAAGATCATGCTATGCGACACAGACAGAAGATCAAAATGTCTTTCTGACCTCCTCATCCTTGGCTGATTAGGTTGACGCTGCTGTGAAGCGTATTACCGAGGTATCTGGTCAGAAATTAGAGTTGAAACAGTTTGCTGATAAGGCACGAGATCATATTGCGCAGCTGCAATATATAAGTACTGGAAGTAAGGTTTTAAAGCAGACGCTCTCTGTTGTGCTTTTCCCTTTTGAGAAGAGATAACATTTGTTTCACCCTCTTTTTTTTCTTTTGTCCATTGAAGGCTTCTTAATTCCAGTCTGGTTACTAGAACCTCCTTGAAACTTTCCACTTTTCAAACCTTCTTCAATTCTCACCCCGATGATCACCATGTCTGAGAATCTTGAAGACACACTGTTGATCAGCTTCTCATAGTAGTTCTGTTACAAAGTACACATAAAGATATCAATCAATTCAAGTTCAATTAGTGGCGAATGCACTATTGCGGAAATTTTACCTCATATCCCTACAACTATACCCATACCCCTACAATTTCTAAAATGAAAAAGTAAAATTTTTAAAATTATAATTATTTATACGAGAGTATTTTGATTCAAAATTTTTTAGTGTAGGAGTATGCTATAATTGTAGGGATACGGGGTAAAATTTCTTGCTTGGGAATAGGTGCAAGCAATTGCAGTTTGTGCTCTCTCTTACCATGGTTATCGCTATGTTTTTACGTGTAAAGCTTCTATTGTTCTCACAATTTTGATTTGAATTTAATGGGCAGGGTATCGATTTGAAAGCAACAAGAAGTACAAGAGAACAACACCAAAGTCCAATGATATCTACCTCAAGCTCTTGGTCAAGATCCATTTTACGCCATTTCTCTTCTCTTTTGTTCGAGGATGATTTAAAATGGAAGTTTGATTTTGTATTCTTAGTCTAATTTATTGATATAACTGTTCGTTTTCGTAATCCTTGTTTATTGGTTAGGTTTGTTTAGATCCGTTCACTAAATTTTAACTTTGCTATGCTAGCCCTAGAATTTCCCAACTATTTTAAAATATGTTATTTTGAAATGAATTGATGAATTTGTCCCTTTTTCGATTTAGAAGTCTTTTTTTTATATAATTTTTATTTGAGAAGTTTTTTTATTCATTTTTTTCATTTGTTTACTTGCTTATTCATTTGACATGTCTGTTTTTGTAGCTTAGTTTCTTCATATTTGAATTGATTTGGTTTTTTTTCTGTGATCAGCTTTAGGCTTCCTTGTTCGGAGAACTGGCAGCAATTTCAACGCTGTTATACTGAAAAGGTTGTTTATGGGCAAGGTTAACAAGCCTCAACTATCTTTGTCAAGGTTGATCAAGTATACCAAGGGGAAGGTTTGTCATTCTCTGCAATTTTCATTTTCACAATTTTTTGTTGTTGATTGGTTTATTACAGTTTAATTGGTTCTGATTTTGAAATTTGTCTTTGTAGGAAGGTAAACCTGTTGTGGTTGTGGGTACTGTAACTGATGATATCCGTGTGTATGATGTTCCAGCCATCAAAGTCACCGCACTTAGGTTTACAGAGACTGCAAGGGCAAGAATTGAAAAGGCTGGTGGAGAATGCTTGACATTCGATCAGTTACCTCTTAGGGCCCCTTTGGGACAAAACACGGTATGTGTTGATGTCACTTTAGTCCTGTTGTAGTTTCTGCATTATTAATTTAATTAGTTTTCTGCTTGTTGATGTTTCTTTATTGTTATTGAAGATTTTTTTAACTGAATTTTCTCAAAAATAGAATTTGTTTTCTCTGTCGCCTCTCATAGTGTTGTGTTGCATGCTTTTTGGGTTGTTGTCTATAGTTTCATAAAACAAGTCGGACTATGATGTTGCCGAGGTTATTGGGAATTATTCATTTATGTAATTTATGGATGCAGGTTCTTCTTAGAGGTCCAAAGAATGCTCGTGAAGCAGTCAAGCACTTTGGTTGTGCTCCTGGTGTTCCACACAGCCACACCAAACCGTATGTGAGAGCAAAGGGAAGGAAGTTTGAGAAGGCCAGAGGAAAGAGGAACAGTCGAGGATTTAGAGTTTGATTTGATGGTATTTTTTTCTGGTATTAGTATCTGAAATTCGAATTTTTCCTACATCTTAAAAACTGTTGTCATTTTATGTTAATGTCTCAGTATGAAGATTTTATTCCTTGCTCCCTTATTTTATTTATGTGGAAGTTTTGTGATGCGTAATATTTTGGTAGCCTACATGTGTTTTGTTCTTAGCAAATGGACAATTTGTTAATTAGGTGATGCATGCTTGTGTTATAAACCTACCCGGAATTTGCTGTTTGCCATAAGTTTTAAAATATAGCGTTCAAGTTTTGGTACACATGATATGATGCACACATATGAAATGAGTTTACAAGGAATGTTTGTATAATATGAATTGTTTCAAAGGGGTATACAGCGTTACCCTAAAAGTTTGTTTTTGTAAGGGTTTTATTTGGTGTAAACTTAAGTCTTCTTGCCTTTATTAGTAGAGACATAATTCTAACTTTTTACGAATACTGGTAATATGGGTTGGGATCCTCTCCATTTCTTTGTCCATCCATTTTATCCATTACTATAGTTTTGTGTGTAAATAACACACATTTCTAAGACATGTGACATATAATTAATATTTAATTGATTTTATATACAACAAAACTATAGTAATGGAGAAAATGGAAGGACAAAGAAATGGAGAGGATCTCAACTCTGGTAATGTTACATGATATAATACATGTGAGAACCAACCCAATCACTATGTGAGATCCCATATTTGGTCCAAAAAAATATGTTGTCGACATCACTAAATGTAATACTTCCTTCGTCTCGTAAAAATGGTCATGTTCTTTTACAATGTAAATTAACCTTGAAAATTAATAATTTTCAGAACTATAATCCTGGTTTTTTAACTTTTATGTTGTTCAACTACTCAATTTATTATGATTAATAAAATTAGTTTTATCATTAAAATCAATATATCTAATATTTTAAAAAATGACTCTAACTAAGGTAATTGTAGATGTTTTTGATTGTCTGCATTTTATGGTAAAACATTGTTGTGTGTAGATGTCTTGACTGATGTCATGACATTCTTGTGTAGTGTATTGTTGGATAAGTTTGGTTAGCTAGAACAGAGTGTATTTGATGTCATGCTGGATGTTATGACATCAGGTAGCTGCCAGCAAGGGCGCGTGTTTGTTTTTCTGTTATGATTCCTGAGTTATCTTAGGCTAGATTTCAGGAAACCTGCTAGGGTTCCTTAGTTATCTCAGGCGAGACTCTAGGCAGGGTTGAGCATAACATGTAATGCCTATGACCTAATTGATAGCACCCTGAATTATGAAAAATGGTTTAACATGGGTAAACCTAATTTGTGCAACTTAGGTACAAGGCTCATACGCTGCATATAAATAAGAGTGGCATCTCTTATTGAAGAGCAGAAATTTTGAGTATTGAAGAGGGAGATTGTGAGTGAAGAATTTTGTTTGTGTAATTTGTTTTTCACGTGTGTTTTTGTGTCTTAGGATTTCTTGTGAGTCAAACAATTATCATCTGGATGATTGCATAGTGTGTTTCAAGGTGTACTTTGATTGTGTCACTCTAAGCTTTTAAGCACGAGTGTTGTGTCTCTTGATTGAAGCTGTGAAGCAAGATCAAGATTTGTTTGAAGTGTGTCTTCGTTTTAATCTGTAATTTAATTGGGTTGATATCACTGCTGTGATTGAGGGGGAGTGAGTAGGAACTTAGGTCTAATGTTAGGCTGAAGTTGCATTGGGTAGGTCTTAAGTGAAGAGTGCAAACTGGTAGTTTGCTCTGAATTAACACTGCTTATAGTGAATTTCCTCCTTGGCTTGGTAGCCCCCAGAGTAGGTGTGATTTGCACCGAATTGGGTCAATAATTTCCTGTGTTATTTACTGCTTTCTCTAAGTGCTTACTGCTTAGCTTAATATTCTGTTCAGTAGCAGATGTCATAACATCTGTCATAACATCGACTGTCTGTTACTAGAATTTCAATTGGTATCAGAGCAGGCACCCTGCCTGTTATTTTCTGGGTGAGATCTAGGAAAGATAAATTCTGGTACTATGGACAAGGATATATGATTTACTAATAGACCACCAATTCTGGATGGATCTAACTATGACTACTGGAAACCTCGTATGATAACTTTCTTGAAGTCTCTGGATAGCAAGGCCTGGAGAGCAGCTAACTCAGGATGGGAACATCCAGTGAAAACAAATAAAGATGGATCAACTGTGCTAATACCTGAAGAGGAGTGGAGTAAAGAGCAAAAAGCTTTGACTCTTGGGAATTCTAAGGCCCTGAATGCTTTATTCAATGGGATATATAAGAACATCTTCAGACTTGTGCATCATTGTGAACTAGCCAAAGAGGTTTGGGATACTCTCAAAACAACTCATGAAGGTACCTCTAAGGTCAAGATTTCTAAATTACAGATGCTGACTACTAAGTTTGAGAATCTGAGAATGAGGGAGGATGAGACTATTCATGAATTCTACATGAATATTCTGGAGATTGTCAATACTTCAGGAGCTTTAGGAGAAAAAATGCCTGAAGAAAATCTTGTAAGGAAGATACTTAAATCATTGCCCAAGAGATTCGACATGAAAGTTACTGCTATTGAAAAGGCTCAAGATATCAGCAACATGAAGGTTGATGAACTCATTGGTTCTCTCCAAACCTTTGAGATGGGAATGTGTGAAAATACTGAAAATAAGAACAAAAGCATAGCTTTTGTATCAAATACTGAAGAGGACTCAGATGAAGGCAATGGTGGAAGTGAGGAAAATCTATCAAAAGCTATATCTATGCTTGGAAGACAATTCAACAAACTTATAAAAAGAATAGATCATAAGACCAAACCTAATGTCAAGAAAATTTCCTCTGACATCGGTAGAATAGGTAAATATGAAGAAAAGTCCAACCAAGGCAAAGGAACTCAGTGCCATGAATGTGAAGGCTATGGTCACATTAGAGCTGAATGTCCCACTTACCTCAAGAAGCAAAAGAAATGTATAATTGTCACCTGGTCTGATGGAGATTCTGAGAGTGGATCAGAAGAAGAATCTGCAAAACATGTCACTGCACTAACGAGTGTATGTGTATCTGATGATGATTATAGTGAAGATGAGCTGACTTTTGATGAACTTGTAGCCTCATGGTTAAAGCTAACGAGTTTGAAGTTTCGACGCAGTCTAGTATTCTTTCTACCACTAGGTTAATAGGGAAATTCTAATTTTTTCGATATAGAACACTCATGTCGATAAAATGACTTGAATTCTCTGTATGATGAAAAATAGGAAAAAAGGTGTTTTGTTTAACGCCTCCGTTTCTACTTTTCTACAATGCGGAATTGATGACCTACGTTTAAATTAATCATAATTCTTTGGATTTCAAGAAAAAAGAAACAACTTTGCTGACAATTATTTGTTTGCTCAGAAGAGTTCTCCAAATATTTGGGTCTTGTATTGATAATCATTTTCAAGATTTTTAGAAATAAAGAAAAGAGGATAGGCTCATTCCCTAATAAATAGGGGGAATTTCCTATAAGGAATTGAGTGTGAGAGCCAAATGAATTGAAAGATTCATGTTTGGTTCGGGAAGAGATCATAGACATTTGGAAATGAATGGAAAGAGAATCTACTTTCATTAAGTGATTTATTGGATAATCGAAAACAAAGAATCCTGAGAACTATTCGAAACTCAGAGGAACTACGGGAAACAACCATTGAACAGCTGGAAAAAGCCCGGGCCCGTTTCAGGAAAGTAGAAATGGAAGCAGATCGGTTTCGAGTGAATGGTTATTCCGAGATAGAACGAGAAAAATGGAATTTAATTAATTCCATTTATACAACTTTGGAACAATTCGAAAATTACAAAAATGAAACCATTCATTTTGAACAACAAAGGGCGATTAATCAAGTCCAACAAAGGGTTTTACAACAAGCATTACAAGGAGCTATGGGAACTCTGAATAGGTGCTTAAACATCGAGTTACATTTACGTATGATCGCTGCTAATATTGGTATGTTTGGGGCGATCAAAGAAAAAATAACTAATTAGTGGTTCTACTATAATAGAGAGTATCGAGAGGCCATATTTTTGTTTTTCTTCGAAAAAGAATCCAATTAATAAAAATATTCATGGTACCCATTCATGCAGATGAAATTAGTCAAATTATCCGTGAACGGATTGAGCAATATAATACCGAAGTAAAAATTGTAAATACAGGTACCGTACTTCAAGTAGGCGATGGCATTGCTCGTATTTATGGTCTTGATGAAGTAATGGCAGGTGAATTAGTAGAATTTAAAGAGGGTACAGTAGGCATTGCTTTGAATTTGGAATCCAAAAATGTTGGTGTTATATTAATAGGTGATGGTTTGATGATACAAGAGGGAAGTTCCGTAAAAGCAACATGAATAATTGCTCAGATACCAGTAAGTGAGGGTTATTTGGGTCGTGTTGTAAATGCCCTAGCTAAACCTATTGACGGTCGAGGAGAAATTTCAGCTTCGGAATCTCGGTTAATTGAATCTCCCGCCCCCGGTATTATTTCCAGACGTTCCGTGTATGAGCCTCTTCAAACGAGACTTATTGCTATTGATTCTATGATCCCTATAGGGCGTGGCAAGCGAGAATTGATTATTGGGGACATACAAACAGGTAAAACAGCAGTAGCTACAGATACGATTCTCAATCAACAGGGACAAAATGTAGTATGTGTTTATGTAGCTATTGGTCAAAAAGCATCTTCAGTGGCTCAAGTAATAACTACTTTACAAGAAAGAGGAGCAATGGAATACACTATTATAGTGGCTGAAACAGCAAATTCCCCAGCTACATTACAATACCTCGCGCCTTATACAGGCGCAACTCTGGCTGAATATTTTATGTACCGTGAACGTCACACTTTAATCATTTATGATGATCCCTCCAAACAAGCACAGGCTTATCGCCAAATGTCTCTTCTATTACGAAGACCACCAGGTCGCGAAGCTTATCCCGAAGATGTTTTTTATTTACATTCGC